CACGTATAGCCACGTACGACACCCTCGGCACAGACCTTCCATTTATTTAGCCGCGCAGCGTGAAGTAGAATTATGTTCGGACATTTTTCTCCGCCTCTTACGTGTCTCGGGGCTCTGCAAAGTGTCATTTGTCTTCGCACGTACGTATCTTCTCTGCACATATACGCAGTAATCCCGAGTCTCGTTCATGCCTGCTCCATTCTTTTGCACGCTGCTGCGGATCAAGGAGAGAAACCTCTTGAGCAGGAAAAATGGTCGCGAACCGTTGTCTTCTCTCTAACATTTCCACATTGCGGGCGTAAAGAAATAGGCCTCATCTAGGGAGCCGGGGAAGGAAGCGGGCGAGTTTTTTCTATTGTCGAGTTCAGCGAAAACGGTACAAATAGTGGTGCTTTTTTTGTTAATATTGTTTTTTATCCTTACTTTGTGCACGTCGCTTCTGAAATAGAATGACCGTCTGTGTCCTGTCCCGCAAGATATATATATGCTGGTGCAGGAGCGTGAAGTTTCTTGTGTCATGTGGACGAAAACAGCGCCTAAATGCGAAAGTGAGGCGCGTTTGATTTGAAAAGTAGTATAAACAAGTAGGACAATAGTAAGTTCTGATGTTGTTCAAGTCAGTAAAAAAGTATATATCGCCGCGAACAAACTGAAGTTTCCGCGGCGTCTCACCATGAGGCTGCATGAGAAAGTGTACATAGGAGGCATACTTTTATGGCACTTGAAGCCCTCATGAGCCCGGCAAGATGATGCGAGATTGCTTTATGCGATTAAGATGATTCAAAGTGCATAAAAAGAACTGAGTTAAAGAGGCGCATAGTTATGCTCAAGCACCGTGTCGCGCTTTTATCTCGTGTCTGTCTGATCCAGGCAAAGCAGTCCTGTTTCTGATATTGCTTATATACGCTATTCAAGCAATCTTTAGACATTCGCGGACTTGATTAAAATAACGAAAAGGTACGGTCGGCATTCAGTATAACGCCGCCATTGTCTGTGACATGTAGTGTTCTCCAGAACATCACGGTGCTGGAAGGGTATTCACGTATCTTATGTGCGCCGACTTTCTCATTTCCGTCACACTTGGGGATTCTCGTACTATCGTGGAATGCGATAGACTTCTCTTAGCAATCGTTCTGCTGTTATAACATACGAACTATAGGTCGTCTGTCTCCCTTTCTAAACTCCCTGCCGTGGTGGCTTAGTGGCTAAGGCGCTCGGCTGCTGATCCGCAGGTCGCGGGATCGAATCCCAGCTGCGACGGCTGCATTTCCGATGGAGGCCGAAATGTTGTAGGCCCGTGTGCTCAGATTTGGGTGCACGTTAAAAAACCTCAAGTAGTCGAAATTTCCGGAGCCCTCTACTACGGCTTCTCTCTTAAACATATGGTGTGTTGGGGAAGTTAAACCCCACATATCAATCAATGTCTTTCTTGCATTCTCTCGGTGTGGTGTATTCTGAAATAAAAAATGGTGTTCTGCGAGTGGCAGCTATTTACAGTACGAAGTATAGTCTTCGCCGTTGATGTTCTTTATAAAGTCCGAATGCGATAAGATTGTATAATGTGCCTCATGTGCGAGAGTTATCAGTGTATACGTGCAGCATGCCTTACCCTCCAGCTGTAACCCGGCGCCGAGTTTCGATAGGTGGCCTGCTGGCCGTATTTTGAAGTTGATCTGCGGTGAGCGGCGCAAAGGCGTCCATTCGAGCCGTCGAGATGGCTGATGACGTACAGGGTGGCCATCGCGTCGTGTCAATGTTTCAGGTACACTTCCAAGGAACATACGACAATCGTCCCTTTCTCCTCTGCCCGGACCGTCAGTCACGCCATGCAGCATTGTGACAGGGATCATTCGCTGTAATTGTGCAAATTTATTGATTTTCAGTTTTTCCCGTCCGCGCGTGACACAGTGCTAATTAAACAGGTTAGCCAGTACTTGTTTCCACGTATACGGTCGATAAATGCATGAGCGTTATTTCGCAGAGTTGCCCTATATATACTCATTACAACTGCTTCCTGTGCTCTGCCTTTCGGGCTACAATTTGACATTTTTCTCTTAATGGGAACTGTATCTATTAATTACCCCCATTCTCTCTCCGGTTTAATCCACTGTCTCCTGTTCGTTTCTTAACGTCACGCTGAATATTTGTATCCCTATCGCTGTTAGTACGGTAACGAAGCAGTGTAAATGTTCTATCCCCACATAGCCTGTTCCTTTCAGTCCGACGAGGAAATCATTTCGTTTGTCTCGTACCAGCATGCGTGAGATGAGGCACGCCCCTTCATCGTTAAATTCGCGTTCATATATATATAGGCGCTGCTTCTTATCTGTATACAGCGCATTCCATTCTCTGTGTAGTCTTCTGAAGGCGCTATACGTAACAAAAACAGAGCTACTTATGATATCTATGTTTTAAGATCTTACCTCATCTCGCTCGTTTTTGAACTATTCGTTACCATCAGGACAGTATAACAAAAGACAACGCAATAATAATAAAGAATAATTATCTCCATCCGTCGCCTGAATAGCTTCTTCGAGTGTCGATACCGCGAAACCTACGTTTATTTTCCGTCGTGTTGGCGTAAATGAATTCGCTCTTATACGCACCGTGCATTAAACCTCGAACCTAAGCTGGACTTACCCTCTTTTCCATCAGCCTTGAATTCGTTGTCGCATTACGCCTGAGGCGTGCCGTTCTAATACCATGCGCGAGTTCGTAATTAGATATCTGTGTTTGTTTGTGCGTCTCTTTCGGGCGTTAAGCAGCGCATTAGAGTTGTGTTTTGGCAAGGGCCCTGATGTTTGTTTTTGATTAACGGCCTATACACAACTTGCTCAACTTGCACAGCACTAGGACGCCTGTAAACATTCGGACGAAGGACGTGGTCCTAAAGAAGGACGACATGTCTTCCGCAGCCTCCTCAATGCTTTTGTGTTTTTCTGTTTCTCTTCCATCCAATGTACACTCCACCTGTGCACATGTTTCGCAGAGATACATTTGCGGCAAGTGCCATGATTTTGGAATTGTGAAAGGGTTATCTACTAATGTGAAAAAAAAAATCTTTTTTTTTTCTCTCTCTCTCTTTAGTGTCCCTTGAAGAGCCGCTGAAGGGGCGTTCGGCCGTGGAAGTTGTGTGCGCTCGTATATTACATTGTACACAACTTCGCACAAGCTTCCGTGATAGGCAGAATGAAAACGCACTGATAAATTCGTACATCCCGCCTAAACTGCCGGCCAGTCAGTCGAGGTCTCATGTTCTCCGCGGCATAGTGACGGCGCGGGCGAATGTGAAGCGTCCCAGCTGGCGGTCTTATAGGGCTATACCGAATTTTTATGAGCGAAGCTCCTCTTATTCTAACATTGTTATGCGTCACGCTTAACCAAGATAAGAAGAGCTAGACGAGAAAGAAAAGAAGGCAGTATATCCCGAACAGTATAATAGACGGTGCTGTCTCATAGAAGTACAAACTGCAGTTGAGTGAGGATATTCTAGATGGCGCTGTACCGCTACTCTCCGATTGATTGCTGCGCGGGCTGTGCCTGGGTACGCAGAGAACGAGTGCCTCTCTGTCTCCTGGATAGTCGCCGTACGTGGCGGGTCGTGGTGGGGCATGAACGAAGCAGAGTGGCGGGCGCGTTGAAAACGCTTGCGCTCAGCTTCCTTGGCTCGCGTCTCGTCGATGTTACCCGTGCGCCGTCTGCATTCTCTAACGCGATCGGACGCATGCACAGGTGGATGGACAGACGACGGACAGAAGGACACTAGCCCCACTCATCACCATTCACTCCGTGGATATTCTGTGATTTTTTTTCAGTACTTGACCGCAACAGGCGCTTAGCTATATACTTTGCTTAGAAGCAACTGGCTATTGATCTTAGAAATGGTATTATTCCGCATATTAATAAATTCGCCATCTTGGCGTGCAGTTCTCGTATTGGTTCAGACAGAGACTGCAACCAGCCTGGTTGATCCAAGTGCCGCCATATTACGGAATTTGACGATATTGTGGAAGTCCACAATATTCATAATAATGCCTCTTACCGTGTTTGATGAGGGTAGGAAGCTTGAATATGTGAATTGTGTGACAATTTCACACTTCGGCTACAGCGAAACGCCCTGTTGAAGAACTTTTGGTCTCTTCATGCTTCGACTGTAATTATTTTGAACGTCAGCCTAATTATAGTTGGTGACAACCTAAAAATAAATATAAGCTCCGCCCATAGCTGTCTAAATCCCACCCAGTCTGAATTTGCATATACGTCTCACGGAATATTAATCGGTTATTTACGTGACGTCAGGCAGATTTCCCGGACTTCCCGCATATCACTCGCCCATACAGGCTCGTGTTGATTTCACTAGTTTTCATTCAAAAAGTTTTACTTCTCCACAAATTTCTTTGAAAATTCCTACCGCACAGCTCTGCCAAACACAACTTTTCAACAAAGAACGACTGCCCCGCCGCGGTGGTCTAGTGGCTAAGGTACTCGGCTGCCGACCCGCAGGTCGCGGGTTTGAATCCCGGCTGCATTTCCGATGGAGGCGGAAATGTTGTAGGCCCGTGTGCTCAGATTTGGGTGCACGTTAAAGAACCCCAGGTGGTCTAAATTTCTGGAGCCCTCCACTACGGCGTCTCTCATAATCATATAGTGGTTTTGGGACGTTAAACCCCACATATCAATCAATCAACAAAGAACGACTAACTTTTAACTTATATACCTTATATTATGTGTAGCGTTTGCATGACCAGTGAAAAAGATCTTATGGCTAAAATGTAAATCGCCAATGATTGCCCTGTTGCACAGATGAATGACAGGTGCGTTGCAGAACTGGGGGTAGAGCATATATTATTAGGTTGTAACCGACTATAGTAATATATTGATCTTTCACCTGTCGCCTCTCCATAAAATCGGGGTTCGTTTTAAGTTCTAAAAAAGCTAATAACGAGTTCGTATTGTACCCGCACGCTTAATTGCATACTTTTAATTACACCTTCACACAGCTGGGGTGCAACGAGTCCCGGTGCGTGGCCTGCCCCGGCAAAAGAAAGAACAAAGTTCGCAGCCAGTTACCGCAGGGGGCAAAGGTCGATGGAACGGCATTGCAGCAGCAGCAGCAACTGCAGGGCACCAGGGCGCCAGACCCTATGAGCACCAGTGCCAACAGCCTTGCGCCCGGAAATCCCACCATGTCGGCCACTGGCTCCGGTATGTGGTGACCGATTCTCAGCCGTGTACTTCTCGATTTGCTCAGCACTGCTACCCGTTGTTTTAATAGCGCCTAGGTATTCCTAGGTGCCTTTACATGTGCGTGTTACACTTTGATGGGTTTACGACTGACATTCTTGTTAAGATTAAGAGTTTCCTATGTTTCCGACATTTTCGGAATGGAGGCAGCCGAGTGGGACAGTGCTCCTCCCTCTTCTGTTTTGTGACAAAAAATTTGTCTTTCTTGATAGGGGAGATTGTATTTCTCAAGTGTGATTGGCATCTTGTTTTTGAATTTCCACTTTGCTGTGTCGTAATATGTGTTGGCCGTGTGCAATACATTACTAGATTTTGGGAATACCATGTCTCTGCCTTTTTTCGTGTTACAATTTGCATAACAAACACTTAAAATAACAACTTGCCTAGGTATAATCTGTGCTTCTCATGGCCAACTCTGCACAGGCATTAAAGCGGCTCTGCAACTCTTATTCAGCATGGTCAGTAAAACGCTGCCGATAGGTAGTCGAGGCTCCTGAAAACACGCTACACAAACATTATAGCACTGCACGAGACCTGTAATTTACAATTAATTCTCGAAGTCAGCTGGAAATCGCACCGCCTTCCCTCTACAGATGTCTTAACGGGATGGTGCCATCACATTTTGAGGCTAAAACAAGCCTCTTGTGGGTTTCTTCTGCAGGCAATAGAACAGTCCAGTCGAACGGTCAGACACAGCAAAAGATTAGAATATATTGTAATTCAACTCTAAAGTGTACCTAAACGCTCATTCTCTCGACCGAAGCGCATCGCAAGCGCGTCCAGAACCGCCGTAGCTTTCTAGAAAGGCTAACGAAGTTGCAGTGACGTCTTACCAGATCTGCAGTGAGCGTAGGCGTGCGCAGGTTTCCCCTTCAAAAGGAACAAAGGTTCATCGCTGGCTTTGCTCCCCCTCCCTAAATCGTGGTGCCCCCTTTCTATTATGTCAATGTGTGCGGCTGTGTTCGCACAACCTCCCTTGTAGGTGACTGTTAGAGTGCCCCCCCCCCCCCCCTGTCCTGTGCGCACGCCTATTGTAGTAAGGGAAGTGACCTCAGGAGACCTCCGCCACATACGTAGCGGCAAAGTGTCCTTTCTGCGGCACGATTGTTGTGCAGGTGCTTGTGTGGCACGTGTGTGCGCGAAAGCTGCACTGCAGCGTCACATCACAATTCTGCGCCCTCAAACCGGAAATGGTCCACTTAAAGAACCGATATTAATTTATTTAGCTAGAATAAAGGAATGTTGGTAACTGTATTGTGCTTACTGGAGCTATAAGTAACGTCTACAGCATATAACGCGCAAGCCACAGAAATGCTGGCACCACTCGTTTAGCCTGAAATTATCACGCGTAAGCAACAAATCAATGGACATTTGCTGATTTGAACATTGTGGGCTGTATGCTTACCGTGACTGCCGCTTGATGGCGCCACGTGGCCACTTGCTCGCTATCACGTTAAAAGTAAGCCGTGAGTTTTAGTAGAAAGTAAAGTGCTCAAGGTCATGACATGCACTGACCAAGGAACGCAGCTTTTTTTCCCTTTCCTCCCAGTCTCTGCATAGCTTCCAGCGCGCTCGCTAGTGCGAAAGGAGAGAGAAAGCGCTTGAAGCGTGCAGCAAGTCCCCGTAGCTTCGTTCGTACTTTACTGGATTCTGAAAATTTTTTCGGCAGTGGATTCGTGAGACAATTATGTCCGTAAACCAAACATCATCACATTATACAACGGTGTTACATATACAATGGCATAGTATACAATGTTTAATATCGTGTGTTCACTCCCCCACCCGCCAAAAAAATGTTTCGAAATTTTGTGTATTTAGGCCTATACACGTGTACATACAAACACATGCACTCGATCCTACATAAACATGGATCCCCCCCCCCAAGAAAAATTCTTGCTACGTTCCTGCATTCGTATACGTTGTTTCATGTGAACTGCTCCTTTCAGCTGATGCCATTAGATGTTACATAGGCATCTCTCATAATTATATCATATCATGGTTTGGGGACGTTAAACTTAACATACCATCATCATCAGAGGTTACATAGTGTGTGTGCTTCACGACCGTATACAAATGTCTCTTTTAGGGCGTGTCAAGGTTTCTCTCGGTCCTGGCCGATCACTAATGGACTGGATCCGGTTGACCCATGCCAATCCAAACCTCTCTGGAGTCAACGGCCGCTTTCTGGAGGTCACCTACGAGGAGCTGATGAAGCACAACAAGAAAGACGATGCCTGGATTTGCCTGAAAGGTAAAAACAGTATCCTCATGAAATTGCTAGCTGTGGCACATTGTCGTAGAGTCGTTTATAATATTTACAATAATAATTTAACTGGTTATTTGTTGTAGTGTTTTTTTTACAAGCACGTACATGAGAAACGATGTGTAGTTTCTCCGCAATGGCGAAATAATTAACGCAATAGCAATACGTTCAAATATAATACAATGTAAGAACGCCGACTTCAGCGGCTATGTGCATGGTTTGCGCTACAGTACTGTCTAAAACTTTGTTCTGTTATAGATGCCTTCAGGCGAGCAGGAGATAGTGCTTGGGGGGGGGGGATGAAAGCAAAAAAAAGACAGGTGTATTGTGCTTCGCAACCCATGCGATTATCTACCGAACGTAGCCTCCAACGTTTAGAATCAGCATGTGTCATGCACAAAAATTTTTGTCGGTCTGTCGGTGTCTGTCCAACGATTCAGCCAGTCAGAGAAAGTTTAACTCCCTTGCTCAACGTCCACCCATTTTGATCTGGTTGCTACGTTCATACTTTTGAACACTGTCAATGAAAATGCAAACATTACGCATATATCAGGAGCAACATCAACACGTAAGTGTTAGGCAGTGTGTCTTTCTATTTATGAAATTCATAGATACATAATTTTAAAGACTGAAGTGTTCATTGCGCTGTGCTGGTAATGCGGCGATATGAACAAAATGCGGGTGTTTCGTATGCTAAATAATTCAGAAGCTTTAACTGAAATGACCCTGTGCTGCCATCTAACAGTAGCTCTGCATTCTAAAAAACTTTCGTTTCTTCACGTATTACTGCCAGATAGCGCCATATCTTACATAGCGCCTCCAGACTGAACACCGACATCTTTCGACGTCCTTTGCAGCAAGGCACGGAGATACGCGATCAATTTTTTCTTCAGCACGACTAGCGTGAAGTTGCTCTTTGGCCAACGTTGAGAGGATATGCGAGGGGCACGTGACGAGCACATACGAAAAGAGAGAGAACTTTGTATTTAAAAATATATATAAGCCAAACATGTGAGAGGGAACCCTTCAAACATGTGCGTGAAATCTGCATGAAATCATCCGCGAGAACCGTTTCGCTGGCAATGGAAAAAAATGATCGATGTTATGAAACATATATTGATGGCCATTTATGCAGTGTCTGTTGGGAAATGCACTGATCATGGGCTTGTAAATAGCCTGTAGCATGTTTAGATAAATTAGCATTGACCAGGAATGTGCGAATAGCAAATTATTGGTTCGAAGTGAATGGTGATTTAGTCGAGTAATTATGAATCGTTTGCATGTATTGCATATTATTAAGAAAATTGGCATACTTGTTATGACCCAACTTACCTTCACAATATATTTTAAAATTAAAACAAGGCATGTGCAAATGTCATTCTTTTCGGTTAAGCGGAAGCAACGTTGTGGAAGTAAATGCAGGATTTTACTTTCAGTGGAATGCAAATGATAGCCTAAAAAATGCGTTACGTTTTAAAGTTTGCTTTTGTCTAGAGTATGTAAGTCGGTATAACAAACATAAAAACAAAAAAAGTCACATTTTCACCAAAAGGGCAAAGTAATGAATGCGATAGCAACATATTCGAATGTTTTATGAAGCAAAGCTAGCATTTTTAGAAGAAATATTAATTATAGTAAACATGCGCTTGCAAAGTAACCAAGTTTCCTGTGGCGCGGCCACAGTAGATGACCACAACGAGGCTTGTGCGTAGTGACGGCATTGATGAGAAGCGCCTCCCGTGGGCAGCGCATGTTCGTACTAAGGGCTATACGTCGTGTGTCGCCACTGGTGGCAGGTTGTTATGGGTAGAGTGCATCTATATGTAGACGGCCGCTCCAGGTACACCTTTGGCACCATTTTTTTGTCTTGAGAGCGTAGCCTGTAGAAGCTCCCACATGCTGTGGGGGCAAGAGCCGCACCTTGATTATTGCCGCGATAGTGCAGCAACCATAAGCGCAGCAACCATAAGCGCTCTCCCCCCCCCCCTCTTGTTCGCTCTCGATATAAGTGCGCGCGCAGACGACTCGGCCGGACAGACGATGTTCGCAATGTTATATATATATATTATATAATATATATATATATATATATATATATATATATATATATATTGAGATCTAACAAAAAATAATGCCATGGAATGTATTGGGGAACCAATGTAATGTGAATAAGAAGAAAGAAAATTGGGTGAAAAGACAACTTGCCATGAGCAGGAATCTCATTAATATTGTGTCAAAACAAGGAAAAATGAGCCCTTAGGTATACACTTCTTTTTCTATATATGTGTATATATATATATATATATATATATTTATATTGATACACAACAGCCGGCACAGCCTTGCTGCATGAAAGAGAAAGACCGCATCGGTTGCTGGTTGTTGATGAACTGTGGCCATCTTGTTCTCCGAGCATGGTCCATCGCATATAATTTAATAAATAAGTTACTCGTAACATTATTAGTTAAGGTGGACGACTCGTAACACTATTAGTTAAGGTGGACGACTCCCGTACCTCGATAGAGACGCGCAGCGGTCGCAACGCTGGGGACTCTTCGGCTACTTCAACTGCCAGTGCCTCATCACCACCGACCTCTCTAGCCGAGTCAAGAACCTTTGTCATCCTGTTACTTCTGCGGGATCCTGGCGCTTTCTCCGCTGACGGTACCATCGACGTTGACTCCTGGCTGCACTGGTACGAGCGTGTCAGTGCTACCCACCACTGGGATCGCACAATCATGCTCGCCAATGTTGTGTTCTACCTCGACGGCATGCCACGGACATGGTTCAAAACCAATGAAGCAGAAATCACAAGCTGGGATATCTTGAAAATGAAGATCCGTGATCTTGTCGGGGATTCATCTGGTCATCAGCTCACTGCCAAAAAAACTCGCCACTCGAGCCCAGACGTCTACTGAATCGTACGTCTCATACATTCTTGACGTCTTGGCGCTTTGTAGCAAGGTCGACCAGCGCATCTCGGAAGACAAAAAAGTTAATCACATTCTCAAAGGGATTGCTGACGATGCCTTCAACCTGCTGGTTTTTCATAATTTCACAAGCATCAACACAATCCTGACAAAATACCACCTTCTAGAACAGGCTGAAGCCCGTCGCGTCACCCACGGCATCACGTGCCTGCCAAATACAACTGCTTCTTCCTCTTGCGATGACGCCGTCCGCCAAGTTCCCCGATGTGACACGGAGCGTGAGTGTCTCGCTCTTGTGTGTGCAGCCGCCAAGTTTCACCCATACTTATACGGGCGTCCATTCCGGGTAGTCACTGATCACCACGCGCTCTGCTGGCTGGCCTCACTCAAGGATCCCACTGGACGACTCACTCGTTGGTCCCTACGTTTACAAGAATACACATTCACGGTAACGTACAAAACAGGGCGGTTGCATCAAGGTGCAGATTGTTTATCATGCTACCATGTGGAAGAAGCTGCCCATACTGACACGTTTGCAGACCTGTCTGTGACGCAGCTACTCAACTTTGGCCACGAACAATGCCGGGATACTTCCCTGCGAACCATCATTGACAAGCTTGAGTCAATGCCTCGCGATGCATCTCTACAAATGTTCCTGGTCAAAGACGGGATCTTGTATAATCGTTACCTCGATCCATATGGCCATGACTTACTCCCCATCATACTAGCTCATCTTTGTGCGACTGTCCTTAACCAACTTTATGACGCTCCTTTGGCGGGCCACTTGGGCGTTTCTCGCACATACGACCGTATAAGATGTCATTTTTTTTGGCCTGGTCTTGCGCGTTTTGTTCGACACTACGTCGCCGCTTGTGAGCCCTGCCAGCGACGCAAAAAGCCATCCTCCTTACCAGCTGGATTCCTTCAGTGGATCGACATTCCCACTGAATCTTTTTTTTGAGTTAGCCTCGATCTGCTTGGCCTATTCCCGATCTCCAGCTCAGGCAACAAATGGATTGCTGTCGCCACTGACTATGGGACAAGGTACACTATCACATGAGCACTTCCGACGAGTTGCGCAACTGATGCGGCGGACTTTCTGGTATATATTATTTTAGTACGCGGAGCTCCACGCCAACTTCTCACAACCGGGGCCGGACCTTCCTATCAGCTGGATGAAGTGGAAAACTTGGGCTTGGCACTCTTGCTCTGCCAAGCACAAGTTTGCCACTTTGTACCACCTGCAAATGAACGGTCTTATGGAGCGCCTCAACCGCACCGTAACCAACATGCTTTCTAAATACGTGGCGGCCGACCACCAGGACTGGGACGTTCATTTGCCATTTGTGACATTCGCATATAATTTGTCACGTCACGGAATTGCCGGCTATTCGCCATTTTATCTTCTATACAGCCGAGAACCCGCCCTACCCTTTGACACCTTGCTGCCCTCGGTCACTGAGTATGCCGGCGAAGCCATCGCGCGAGCTGACCACGCACGCCAACTTGCCCGCAGCCGTCTGCAGGCCTCACAGGAGCACCAAACACAGCTCTACGATTCTCATCATCGAAACATGCACTTTTCACCAGGTTTCCTTGTCTCTCTCTGGTTCCCCACTGGGCGTGTAGGTCTTTCTGAAAAACTGCTGTCACGCTACACTGAACCATACCGCGTCGTTCGCGAGGTGACTGACGTTAAATATGAGATCATTCCAGCCGATCCAACGTCAGCTTCGAGCGACATTGTGCACATAGCTCGACTCAAGCCTTATCACCCTCTTTCTATCGCATACAAGTAGCTCAAGCACCGAAACGGTGCTTATACTGCCGGGGGGTTATGATGCACAACAGCCGGCACAGCCTTGCTGCATGAAAGAGAAAGACGACGTCGGTTGCTAGTTGTTGATGAACTGTCGCCATCTTGTTCCCCGAACACGGTCCATCGTTTAAATTTAATAAATAAGTTACTCATAACACTGTATATATATATATATATATATATATATATCTGTGTGTGTGCGTGCTTGTGTATTTTAAATGAAGGCAGCGGCGATGGCAAAAACCATCTGAGAATGTTCCTATAACTGCTATTGCAATAAAATATTATGAACCGATGCGAGCATATCTTCATTTAACGGTAAAGCATCGCTGCATTGCAGTTTTCCTCTGGACAGGTGTAATGATGAGATGGCACACATCTACAGCAGTAAAACTACCTTTACAGGAGGTTACATGCGATTTATATATATGTAAAAAGTAAGCAGTGTTGCGACCGGCCTTTGCGGCGCCGGATATTCAGGATGAAGATGTCGAAGCAGGAGGAAGTGGACTTATTAGAGAGGGTTTATATACAATATGTACATGGCGAGCTATCTCTTACATGGCGAGCTCTCAAACAAGGCGCTCCTCTACATGGCTCTCCTTGAAACAAGCCAGTTGGCTCATTATAAAGGGTATGTTCTCCCCAGATCCCTAAATAAGAGAACGCGTGCAGATGGCACTGTCCAATCACGGATCACACATAACCGGCGAGCGTGACATGCATGCATGGCCCACATGGACGTCCAATATTGAGGCAATGTCACTGCACTGCCATGTGTCATTCACGTGGCTCTTCGTCGTCGTGTGTGTGCCGCTGGACGAGGGGTCTTCAGCTCACGACAGCATTCATCAAAACAGCCGTCGCAACCAAGCTCAAAAGCGTCCGCTGCACTGCTCGTTCAATTAGCAGGTCGATTTGCGGCTGCCGCCACTGTCCCTTCCAAGAAAGATGCTGCATTTGTCGTCGTCTCGTGAACAGCTCACGGCATCGTGGCGGCATGACACCTCACCCTCCGGCTAAGAGGGACAATGCCTGGCGGTTATAGGCTGCCAGCCATTCGGCAACTTGTTTGAGGATCAAACGATCGCCGCTCCCTTGTCAGCCTAGGCGCCAGATGCAACAGCAGGCGTTGTGCCCCTCCAGGTGGCAGATTGCCCGCTTGCTCTCTCCCTCTTTTTTCTGTGTCCTTGTCTATCCGTGTATGCAAATCAGATAATAATAATAATAATAGTTTATTTTGAATAACATGAAAGCTTCCATGGACATCCATCTGGTCAGAAAGAATCATTGAATGAAGACTAGGATGCCCACCACAAGATTTATTTTCTCTTGTGGTCGGCATCCTCCTCTTTTTATTCAATTAATTTTAAATACTTCAAAATTTTGAATTATTTGAACTGGTTTTGAAGCGAATTGAAATACCATAGTATTTTCGATTGCATATTCGAACTTCTTGAATATTCGCGCATCTCTTTTATAAACCATGAAAGTGTTAAAGCCATGCTGCATGGATCATTATAGGACTGCATTGTGCAGTGACAGTTAGCCTCATCACAAAATACCCGATGCTGTGGATCATTAATCTTTAGGTTGTGTGTCTACAGCTCAATGTAATGTATATTCCAATTTTATTGAAGTATATCAGTTCTGTGTACATGGCTATAAATCTAGAGGCACTAATTAGGACAAACACAAATTTTTGTAGCCATTGTCCACAATCTAGTCTCCAAGCAAGTACTCTATTCAAAGATTCTATAGGTAGACTTGACTTTTCAGAATTCTGATTTATCAATTTGTCAAATAGTATGGAGAAACTTATCATATATATATCATCATAATATAATAAATTAAAAAGTCTACTTTTTTCATTGGTTGATTTAACTTGTGATACACTGTCATCTGTATGTTCTTATAGAGTTGAGGACAGCCTTTCTCAGTGTCTGAAAATTCGTGCAAAAAATAGCAACTTGGATGACAAATAAGTCTGTATTGAAACAAAGACTAGTGTTTCTTTTTGAGGATGTTGAGATAACTATTTAAAAAATAAGCGCTCAAAAGACAGGTTTAGTTTCATCAGTCATTGTGTAATGTTTGATTGCCATGTTATTTTTTCCTTACAGGTCGTGTGTACAATGTTACTCCTTACATGGAATACCACCCCGGTGGTGTAGACGAGCTACTCAAGGGTGTTGGGAAGGATGCCACTGATTTGTTCAACCAGGTAGTGTTAAAGTAGTGGTTGTGCTCTTTGTATCATTCCTTGCACCTGGAAAAATGAAACAATAGTGTGTGAAGGTGTGTTCATTTCTTCATGTGATGGAACTGTATGACTCTAAATCTGTGGGTGGATGACTGTAAATTTGGTGTGCGGTGCAATAATACACATTTATAGTTTCTGCTTGCAAGGATATATATATATCTGACCCTGATTTTTTAGAAAAACGATCAAAGTAACTTAGGCACTCATGAATATTAAGAAAATATGCAGAAACACTTTTATTCTACTGAAGCTTAGCCTCTCAAAGTTGTGCAGATGCTTTGAGGGACAACATCATGGCTTTCGAGAGGTGCTTCTAGAACAAAAATATCAGCTACATGACTTTTTTTTGCAAATACCTTTGAGTTATTTGAATTATATTGGCAGAATTTTCTTTAAATTATTCGCTCTCAAACATTGACAGTGACTTTGGCAATTATTAAAGGTTTGCACTAAATTACAGTGAGACTGACAACCTTACAATGGCTTCATGAACAAATTCCTCAGGTACTGTGAAAATAGGGCTTACATATACAACACTGAACTGAAGCTGCCCAGCAGAGATAAAGAAGTTTGGATTCATCAAAATCAATTATGATATTGAAAAAAAAAGAGGCAATAGACACAGCCACGTTGATTGTTCCTTTGACATCACGAATATGACCCTTCCTTGATTGTAAAGCTCTTTTTCTTATAAAACGGTTTGCCAACACGTGACATTCCCCATGACTGTTAGCGGCTAAGTCATTGAAATACTGAGTGCAAAGTTGTGCTTCCCAGTTTTGCAAGCTGAATATGAATAGGGCTGATATGCGAAAACACCTATACGCTTAGACTTGAATGCATGGTAAATAACCCTGGATAGCCGAAATTATTCCATAGTTTTCATTACGTACACTGCACGCTACGTTCATTCCTGCTTTTAATTCATGAAAGGTTAGATTTAAACTGAAATTCTCGAGCTATGATGACCAATAAATTCTGGCAATGGCTTCTGTTTGAACACCTTTTTGGGGCAACTTAGGTGAATTTACTTGCTCTTTGGAAAGAGCATTAATTGCACATTCTGAACTTACAGCTCAATTTGAAAGCATCAGTGCAGCCTTCTGAGTTAGTGAAATGTATGCCATAGTATGAATGAAGGAAAGTTTTAATTTAAGGGCTCGTTTTTCTTTGTTATATGCAATATTAATGAGAACTAGCAGACACCTTTGCTGTATTATGGGTGTTTTATGCAGCAACTCTTGCTGTAGGCGGGGCATTGAATTTAGTAGCACCAATACCAGTACTCTTGAAAAGTCTGAATAGATTTGTGGTTTGCAGTGTTCTGCCTTCTATCGTAATGTTTGGGTGCCTGCTTATCGGATTTAGCCTCCTGCAATGGCTTGTTTCTGTAATGTAAATGTTTTGGAGCAATGGGAAACATTTCAATAACCTGATAGTGGCTGAAGCTAGGATATCACATCACCACTGGAGGATGTAAGACGAAAGGATTCCCAAAGGTTCCTTCTAGCCGTGGTTGAAGAGTTGATTCAAATTATTTTTGATTCAATTGAGTGATTGACTGACTGATCAATCGATCGATCAATATACTTATTGGAAAACTGTTGTAAAGACGCAATATATTCTTGTGTTAGACAAGGTTTACATGGTTGAACCCCTAAAATTAATATTATTAAAGCTTTACGTAACTTACTGCACAAACTCTTTCAGCACAACTTGTTTGGTTATGCCAAATTGGGACTTTGGTGTTGCCTAATTTTGGTCCTGCTGTTTTTTTCAACACCCTGCAGGTACACAAGTGGGTAAACTTTGAGTCCATGCTCGAGAAGTGCCTCATCGGCAAGGTTGTTGGCCCTGCCGTTCAAGTTCGTAAATGTGAGTGAGCACAAAAATTTCTTGGTGTTCCTTTTTTACTTCCACTCGAGGATTACGGAGTCAGTGTGATGCTTGGCTCAATGCAACTGAATCACAGAAAAAAATATATACAGGGTCGGCCCATGCACTTTGTCGACATGTTACGCTCTGTATAAATTGAAGGCGAAAGCCTACTGCACACTAGATAATGCATGAAGTTGTACAGCCAGAGACTGCACTTCTTGCGAAACAAAGTTTGTCAACATGTTAGGCTCTGTATAATTTGAAGGCGAAAGCCTACTGCGCACTAAATAATGCATGAGGTTGTACAGTCAGGGACTGCACTTCTTGCAAAATATAATGAGCCACTGCGTGAGAGACATGTAATAAATTACCAAAACATTCTTTGTAATTTGCATTGTTTCTCCCCACCTGGAGATTTATGTATCTCACGCAGTTTTGTAAAAACCCTGGGATTAGTGCATGTGGGGATATCATTGTCTAATGCCAGGTTTTATATCACAAGAATGTCATGTTGATTTCACTCATTTACGTCACATGTGAATGATGTCACATGATGAAATCAAAAGGTGACCTCAACGATGGCACAGGCGACATGGGTATTTTTACCACTCCATTCACCGGCTTTATTTTGCTCAAGCGGCCACTCAATGACGCATTTTAAGAGATTACCTTTTATTGATGTCCATTCAAGCAAGTGTAATTTGTGAAGGTGCATAGTGCCGAGAATATAAGTACCAAAACAGCACTGTTAATGAACACTTGGGAAGAAAATCTTACAGCAGAGCTGTTATGGTCGATGTTGGCTTTGTGGTATAGAAAAAGATAGAAGGGAAGAGAAAGAGGGAAATTGGTAGAAAGAAAGGAAAGAAAGACTGAAAAGATGTAGGGCAAGAAAACGACTACAGAGAGATTTCGAGAAAGAAAGGCATTAAAAGAAAGAGAAGACAAGAGTGGAAGGAAGTGAATCAAGAAAAATAGAAAGACAGAGAAGGAAAGAGATAGAAAGACAAAGAAAAGAAAAGATAGAAAGTCAGAGAAAGAAAGAGATAGAAAAACAAGCTTGAAAAAAAAGTTAAAGAGAGCAAGCCTAGGCATTTATGGTATAGTAAAGCAACAATTGGGAAATAAGGAGATGAGAGGATAAAAGCCTTGCCAAGTCCGGACTAGTTAGTAAATACGGTACATGCTCACGAACTCTGCTGTGCATGCGCTTTGTGCAGCTTAGTGCACAGATTTTTTCATTCCTTGTATAAATGGCATATCACATGGTGGACAGTCGCTATTTTTACTTTTATCACTTATTTCACCTGCACAATTTATGTGCTGGTAGGCTGTGTGCTGCATGCTGCATTTGACTGTCTGTGCTTTCTCGCTTTAGTGTGCTGGTTATTGAGCTTGTAATCACTTTGGGGAAATTTGTTAATTTAAGCAGAGACAAATGCAGTATGTAGGTGATAACTTCCGCTTATGAAGGTGTACTGAAAGAGAATTTCGATGTTAGAGCCAGAAAATTATATGTGAAAAAATGATAAGCTATTACAAATGACAGTAAGGGAATGAAATGGGACGGGCATTTTAGAGCATATGAGCAACATGGAAAATTTGGCAAACAGAGATGGATCAACGAAAATTCACTGCATTTAGAAGTAGCAGTGTCAGAATGCACTTGTGAATGCACTACTCTTTAATTCATATAAATATGTAATAGACAGGTGAGTCAACTCTCATTTCTGTGACCTGGATGCAGAGGCGGACATATTTAAGAGACTGAAAGTTAGGATAATTGGCAATCATGAGTAAAAAAAGCAGGCCGTGAAAATGCCATTTGTGTCTTTGTGTGAAGAAGCATGATAGCATGACAAGCTATCAAACTTTACCGAAACTAGCCCTGTTGACAAGAAATTACCTCCTTTAGTTATTTATGCGCAAGCTTTTCTGCCTTCATAAAAATTCCTCTTCACAGCGTACTCATGGCGTTCTACTTATTTGGAATGTGTCCACGAAGTCCCTCGTTTCTAAGTACATGAAGTACGTTCTGCTATTTAGTACATTGGATCTCCGCAATAGCGCTAAAATGACAATGTTTCGGTTGTGTGTTAAACTTCATGAAGAGGACAGAGTCTAGGGAAAGAAAAATCTGCGTTGTGCAGATGTAGGATTATGTTTGTTGTCTAGAAAGAACTCACGTGTGTGGATAGAACAATAACTTGGGGCATTCTACATAACCACCATGAAATCTCGAGCAAGTGTCCCTTCCCCTATTCGGGAGATTCGAAATATGTACCAATAACCGAGCAAGCGCCCTTTCCTCTCACTTTTTTTTTTCCGCCTGATCTTCATCACAGAATCCTACAGCAGCAGTTCTTAGAAACCCAAGTTCTGAGAGTCTCCAGAAATGCACACAAATTCCCAGCACTTATATAGTGTGATGTGTCAGGGTGGCACTCTGAGCTGTTACAGATTGTCGGAAAATTTAAAGAACATCTTTCTTCCTTGTATGGACCTAGTAATGCACATAATAATTATTTCCTCTGTTATCGTAACACATGAAATTTCACACAAGATTTTCTTCGCTGCAATGAAAACATTAAGTGCGTGCATATTCGATAAAGCCTTTCTTTAGACACACAGCTGTGCATTCTTCTTAGAGGCTCTTCCACCGACATCTTGAAGTTTGGTTGGTGACCGAGCTAGAGGCTCCCTCAAAATCTTTTCTCATTATCGTTCACCATAAGGGGTGTGCTTGCTCAGATTTTTATGTTAATCAGGAAAGTTTCTCATATCACCCTCATATGCAATGCCATGGTATTGTGCTATTCTTTGGAGTGTGGTCTCACATAATTTAGAGGTGATCAGTTTAAATACAGTTCAAGTGTATGTCAGTTTGTTTTATTTAGGACTCAAATAGCTTATCTAACCATGTGACTTTTTTGGTGTTATTGTCTTTGACAGGCAGCTCACAATCAACACCAGCACCCTGCATTTTTTGGCTAACATTTAAATTAGCTGCATCGCTTTTTTTTGCCCTTCAATTCCAGCTAGTTTCCCAGTGCCAAGGATACCATTTATCAAGAAACTGCAATGGACGGACACAGCAACCTCAGAAGGTAACTCCGAACTAATGTTTGTCTAGCAATAATGTAATGTTTCACAGATAACAAGGTAGCATTAGTAACATTTTTGTTTTTCTCTCGTGTCTTTCATGCCATTCAGATGTTCCCGACATCAGCGAAGGGACGTCACCTAAACCGGCTGTTAGGTGAGCATGTCCGTCATTCGTAACATTTGTTTCCTGTAGAATTCTCACTGACCTCAATGCATCTTGTTGCACGACCAACGGATAGCATGTTTCAAGACCATAACCTTCTAGCTTTCTAGAAATAGAATGATAGTATTTAGCCAGGCTCATAAGGCGTAGTCGAAACGACTCCGAGCAAGTAAGCGCTTATTATTTAATTCCCATATTAATTCAAAATATTTGTTGTGCCATTCTACTTTTGAAACAGTTTAAATGGGCCCCACAACGGTTGTCAGCAGAGTTGTGCAACATACTACTTGGTATTGAAGGGCATCCTTTCTCGAATATCCTCCTGCAAGAAGTATTTGAGCGCTCTGAATATGAGTGGAATCACTGGCGATCAGTGTTTATCCATCAGACCTTCCGCAACATTCCCGCGGTTTCTGCCACAGTGGGGGTGGCTATGGAAAGGCAGGTCTTTGCCCTTGGTGCTCAGTCCACGGTACGTCACCATGCCGCGGTATTTATTATTATTTTTTTCTCTTGCTTGTATTGTCTTTATGTTTGACACTGCCGGCTTGCAGTCAAGAAATGCCACAAAGATTTTGTGGGGTGGCAGCAACTTCGTAGCACATAGGGCATGATTGTTGATAAAAAATGTTGTGATTATTGCAAGGCCTCAAGTGGAAGAATGAATTTCATTTGATATTATTAATGAGTGATAAACATGGGATGGTCATACACACCAAAAAGTACTAAAGCATGAACAGATCTTTTGTTCCTTGTTATATCATATCAAGTAGCTAGAATTGCGAATAGCTACAAGCGCATGTACACTGCCTGATGTTTCCAGAAAAAGCAGAGGGAGAAATGGAGCCAAGAAGCTTGACTTATCATTTGACCTTGCATCTGTACAAAGCCAAACCCAGAAAAAGAAGGAACAAATTAACTTGTTTATTTTTTCTAAATGTATGCATTACATGTAAGGGAGATATCATCGTTCATCAATATAAGATCTGTACAAATCAGATTCAAGATTATGCCACATCTTACACGTTATGTGTAGGAAATGGGTGAAGTGTTGTGCGCATATTAAATAAGCCGTAGCTCAGGTGCTGCCTCTGTAATGCTGCTTACTTGTCTGCTGTGATTTCCTTTTCCTTGTTACTCCTAGACTTCAGTTAAGAACAGCAAATTTCCCAGACATTATTGTGCACAAGCTTCTTCCTACAGAACTCTGAATATTGTGGCACCAAATGTAGAACGTCTAATTTTCTGCAAATAAACACGCAGCGATGTTGTCATTTCAAATTGACACTAAGCACCATGCCTGTTTATGCATGTTTCATAAAACTCTCGCAGTAACTGCACCGAGGCCTATCAAGATTTTATGCGGTGCATCCTAAGTTCACCAACATCTGTCAGACCTTAAATGATGACTGGTGCTCGCAAAAAAATTATTCATATGACATCGAGCACATGAGAAAAAGATGATGAGCAGAACACGAGCATATGTCGCGGTACATGTGTATTAGAGAGTAAAGGAAATACTTGACCAGATAACAACTGAAAGCCACAATTATGAAATAGATGTGTTTTGTGGTGCCTTCAAATACAGTAACTTTTTATGCACCTACTAAGCATTGTGCTAACAAATACAAAAAACCATTTTTGGTGGAAATTGTTCTTCCTGAAAATAAGAATTTCTGTTAGCTTAAGAAGAAATGGGTGTATTGAAATGTTTTGGGAATTTATAAGGCGCTAAAGTGAGGCATAAGTGAAATGCTGATTGTCTGCTTTGTGCGACACAATAATACATCTCTTGGGTAACCACACAGCCTTGTCTTGCACTTACCACGACTTACTCCCATGTTCGAAATGCATTGCAGAGTCCTTGGAATCCATCTAATTTTATGTATGTGCTCAGTGGTTAAGTGAAATTTATGCATAAGTGCAAGAACAGTCATTCTTCACAGTGTGCAGTTGATTTAGTGAATTGTGTAAAGAGATTGAAGGGGTTGAGGTTGGTTTACTGGCAGTCTTGTGAATGTGCAGGGTGCCCGAATGATAAACTTTTTCAGGTAATAATGATGCAATTATTAAATGAGTTTAAAGTTTGAAGATAGGTTTGGACCATCATTGTCATTGAGGATATGAACCACTGTTGTGTTTATTATTTATTACCATAAGAAAGCATGTGTTATGCAAAATGCCTAATATGAGGTTCGAGTTTTCAACATTTCTGTTTCCTAATTAGCATTATTGCACAGTACAATGTACAGGTGCATTGGCATTCATGAAAAAAAGCAGCTTGTACCTGTGACTGCAGTGTACTCAGCGTCAAAAAAAAAAGAAAATTTGTCATGCAGTGCAATGCAACGAGTACTGAAGTGCTTCAGCGGGTGTATCGTAATACGTAGCAGGGAGCAATGTCAATCACTGCTGAAGGCTACCAGTACAGCAACATTCAAAACATTTATAACGGAAATATGCCATAAATGTACATTGAGGCTTCCATGTTTTTCTTCCCTACAGTGCAGAACGATGCCGTTTTGAGAAAATTATTGAGTCAGCTTCAGAAGAGTTGACTGTTGGGCGAGTTGGTGCTTTGACATAGAAACCATCGTGAGGGCCCAACTAAACACAACACACACGAAGAGACAGACGAGGACAGGTGCAAACTACCAACTGACTTTATTCAAGGAACATCGACACCTTTATTATATCAACACCCTGCACAAGGGCACAACCACCAACCACGAAAATTTAAACCAGACGAGAACCAGACGTCTGGTTTAAATTTTCGTGATTGTTGTGGCAGTGCCCCTGCACAGGGTGTTGATATAATAAAGCTGTCGATGTTCCTTGAATAAAGCCAGTTGGTAGTTTGCACCTGTCCTCGTCTGTTTCTTTGTGTGTTGTGTTTAATTGGGCCCTCATGATGGTTTCTATAGGGAATCGCCATCTGTGCCTGGCTGAAACTACTATTTATAGAATAGGCATCAATTACTGGCCTTACATGCTATTTGTATACCAAGTTTTGGTGTTTGCATCAATTACCATTAATTCCCACATAAAGGCTTCACACAATGCTTCATTAACCTAATTTTCTTATCAGTGGTGAAGATAGGTTCATGAAGGTCGTAATGAACCAGTTAAAATTTGAAGTAGCCTTGTTCAAATTGAAATGCGCTTCGTTATATAAAGGTTCTGTGCCTTCATGATGCTCTCGCTTCTTGCAGCTACGAGTGGTTTCAAGACGACTCTACGGTCACCATCACCATCCAGTCCATGGGTGATGCGATCATTGAAGAAGATAAAGTTGTTGCGGACCTATCGGGAAAGACTCTTCGGATACGACTCCGGCTCTCGAAATATTTTTACTTTTTTCATGTTGGTAAGCCACGCATTCTTTAAGCACATGGTACGAGTTGTGAAGGTAACACTCATTCTTCAGCAGCATATCAGAGGTTTTATGATTATATCTGGCACACTGTGTAAATACATAAAGTCAAACCTCGATAGAACAAATACGGTTATAGTGAATTCTTCATTAAAATGAATTAAACAAAAGAAAAACTTGCCGTTGATTCAGTGGAATGGACATAAATATAAAATGACTTTTTGAATGGAATGAAGGAATTTCTGTGCCCAATGCAACATTGTTGCAATGAGGTTTGATTACTCAAGTTAAAATTATTTCAGCTGTATTAAAAAATTATTATCCTAGACTACGTATTGAGAAGGCTGCCCACAAAAAGATAGAAGGCGTGGCGAGTCAAAGAATGCTGACAGAAGACAGGGCTTGAGAAGAGAGTAAAAAGAGACAAGAAGAGAAGATTTTCCTTGAAATGGATGTCTCCCTCTTACTGCTCAGTTCTTGGAGTTTAAATATTCCTAAAGGGACAATTAGGTGTTGTATCACAACCCTTAGCAGAAGTGTACTCAGCCTTTTAGTATCCATCCCCTGTAAACTCTTTACTGCGCTACATTTTGCCCTTATATGCAACTTGTTGAAACTCGGGTTAACAAATAAATCGTTCACATCAACACTGCCAGCTTACATTAGAAACGTAGCATTTTGGGCATGTTGGTACGTGATACTGTAGTTTTCTAGCCCACGAAAGGCTAAGTTGCCTCATCGGACAAGCAGGAATGCAAAACCAAGCATAAAAATAGGTTTATAGAGTGCAGTGAGGCAGTTGGGTACAAGCTTCCATTGACATGGGGCAAGGATTATGTGGATCAGAGTGGGTGGTGGATCAGTGAATGTTAAAAAGAACACTGCTACCACGTGAAAGAAAAAAAAGGTGGGTTTCTCGATGCCCACTGCAGGCATTGCAATAGTAATTCAAGTGACAATGCCAGTTCCACGTGCATGCGCATTTTTTATGAGTGGTTCAATCATCGGCACGAACAGAGGTCAGCTGACCCACGAAATTGTCAAGGCTGAAATGATTGATAGGCTGGCAGATAACAGCATTTATAAACCATCGACTGCCCTTTCGTGTAAGGATTTAACCTATCTACGTAAGGATATGTGAATTTGTAAAGTGTATGCAGTCATAATGTATGAAAGGCAATGTTGTCTATATATATATAATATATATATATATATATATATATATATATATATATATATATATATATGAATAAGGGAAAGATGTGCATACATAAGGGCTCGTTTTTCCGTGTTTTGACACAATAATAATGAGATCTAACAGACACTCTGTTAGTCTGTTAGATCTTATTAATATATATGTATGTATGTAGATATGGTCACCTTTTTCTAGAATAAACATTGTTGCAAGTTAGCGTCTGTCCCCTCTTTCTCTGTCCATGTTTGTTCGTGTGCTACAAAACTAAATCAAGGCTTACATTGAAGCTCTTGCGACAGTTTCTGCAAGATCTTCTTTTCTTAAATATTGTCTCTGTCCTAATATATATGCTGCATTACCTAAAATAAATGAAGGAAGTTTTTATTGCTTGCTTCAACAAAATTGTTCTTATTCTTCTTTTCAGAATTGCAAGATAATGTTTATAGTAGTTATAATGGTAAGTAGTGATGTGCTCCCCTTGCTTGAAGCAGCATTTTATTTGCATACATATTTACTAGAGGCCTTCATAGAATCTTGCCACACTATTGCACATTTGACCAGCGTTATACAACGGGTATACCAGTTTCTTATCCCTTCATGCTTGGGAAGGTTACCTTGAAGGGCGTGTTGCAATTACGACCTTGAAATAGATTGCGCCGAACGCTGGGTTGTACTAAAGGGATGATGTAGCTAAGTTCAGAACTCATAATCTTTCTGTTAATGGCCATAAAACTTAGCATCACTGTTACATCCAACTGATGCCACAGTGCTCTCTCTGTTTCACTATTTGTGCTAAATCAAACCGGCTGATGTAATGTACATATACCTGAGTAGAGAGTTAAAATAAATGTGTCCAAATGTTATCTTTTTAGATGAAACACTTATGAGGTGATTGTACAATCTGTCATGAGCTTAGAAACGCGGTTCAGTACCGGGTGTGTGTTTCAACTTTACATTTCTTGTAGCACTTCCTGATAGGGAAGATTAACATACCATATTGTCAGTATACGTTCCCATTTATAAAGGAACATGTAACTACACTGTGGTCCACGAAACCTCCACAACATTTTGATTGTTGCGATACATTGGCTTGGCAGCTACACTGTTTCACTGCGGAACTTGAGGTCTCGTGTTCATTTCCCGGCTGCCATGGCCCCATTTCAGTGGAAACATGATGTAAAAACACTCGTTTACCTTGACTAGTACGCATAATAAAGAACCTTTGGTGGTAAAACCTTGAAGGAACCATCCACAATGGCATTTATCAAAGCTAGAGTGCTGCATCGAAACACTTGCTGAATCGCTCAATCGATTTCCAAACCTTTCATACATGTCCTAAATTTTATGCTAATTGAATGAAATAGATTTTATTCGAGCCTCATGAGTCGTAACACTCAGAGGACTCCTATCAATTGCCATGTTGGCAGCGTGGGCAGCCTAATACTAGATGTGTGGGATGGCTTATATTGTGGAGACTTGTGGCCATATTCTTCTCATTGCGAGCATTGTCTGATTTGCTTGTCTCATACTGTGCTTCTAAATGATGATGTGCAGAACATAAGAAGCATGTGAATTTTATTTCTATTAACCTGCTTGAAAACAATGCACATCGTGATTGTATTCATCTTTTTTGCATTTTTCTCATCATTGTTATGGTATCCTTCGTGGTACAGTAAAGACAAATATATATTGTACTGAACAACTGGTGGCATCACAAGCAGTTTTTAGTTTCTGTACCAGAGAGCCATGACATCATGGACGTTTGTGGTACCTACTTGGCTCTGTTGGCAAGTAACATTGCATCATGCATTCTATTCTGGAGGAATCAACTGTTCCAACTGAAATAAGCATGCTTTGGTATTTTTTGTCATGCCAGTAAATCATGCTTTAAAAAATTGTTTAGCAATATGGTCGAATGATGAAGATGCATTATTCAAATAAAATCTCCCATTTATGAAATTTTGGTGCTCAATTTTTCATTTAAGAAAAAAAATTCTGGTGCACTACATGCTATTATGTTATTTTAAACCAACAATCATTCTAAACAAGAGGCACATTTTTTTATAATAAGAAATAAAATTTGCGCTAAAATCAAACCGGCTTAGTGATGCAAAAAGTGTAAGCTAGTAGGACAGTGCGAACAATATTTCGATATACAATACATATTATTTATACATGCTATACAAAGCTCTCATTATGTAAAAAATTGTATATGATTAACTCCACCTTCTGCATTAGTGCAATATTCTGGACAAATGGTACTAATGAATTACTATACGACGTACCGTCGACATCAAAAGTTTAGATACAACTAGCTCTCAGAAAACTGAATTTTCCCTAAATTTGTTCAATCGTGCTGTGCCATACATGTTTTTAATGCATGCGCTATCGCGTACCACCATTGAAGGTGAAGGTCAAGTGTGCTCTAAATTTTTTATTGTCTTTGAGTGGCCAGTAATGTAACAAACTGTTTTGTGGTGATGTTCAGTCCAGGTAAAGTGCAAGCTAAAATGCCTGGAAATCCAGCTAGTGAAGGAAAAAAATTGCGTCTCTTGGTCCTCCCTGGGCTCATTTTTAGCCGACCACAACAAGCTAGTGCCTTTGAAAAATGCTGGTAAGTTTATTAATAATATTATTTTCAGGCACCAAAGAATGCTATTTGCTGAAAGCGAAGCCTCGGTATGTTGTGTATCAACAATCATTCAAAAGCAAGTTGCTACAGAAAATGTTAGACATTTTTAATGATTTGGTGAGCCTTTTTTTTTTGTTGACAATACCGTACCGCTGGCAGGAATGTCAAAAATCATAACATCGACTGTTTCATGTCTAGTGTACTTGGAAAGCTCTCATTTCACCATTTGACGAGTACACTCTATTTGAAACATTGTGCAACGCAAGGCAGACAGAGCTACATGGTGGAAAATTGAATGAACAAATGTTGGCTTAAATTTGTTTTACAATAAAAACTCAGGCATACTATTCAATCGGGCAATAAAAATATGCTCAGAAGCATATTGAGATGTTTGTTACACACATTAAATTTTGAGAAGAATTTTATGAAGGCTGTTTTCTTCGTTTGACACAATCTCAATGAAAACCAGCAGACAAGGAAGCAAAGAAAAGTGAGGGGACGTTCATGATACTGTCTTACATGTATTGTCCCTGCTATTGGCATGTTGTCTTTCACTTTCTTCACATCTATATCACAATTATTACAATACACTCGAAGGGCCTGTAAATCACTTCTAATATTTTTTCAAGCATTGCAAGTAAATGCGCACATCGTGTGCACAATGCTGGCGTGATCAACAATTTCGCGTGGCAGCACTACGAGCTGTGGGCGCGCCACAAAGAAACAATCCCTCCCCTTTCCGGGCCTTTCGGGCCTCCGCCAAATATGCTAAATATGCCAAATATGCTGTGAGCGGTTGAGCAAGAGCCTACGACTTGCATTCAGTCTGCAAGCAGCTGTCCGCACTGCTTGTTGTTGTTCGTCGTGTTGCCTGCATGCATGTAACACATGCGGAGAACTGGCGCAATGCAGGTTTCGTACCAGCACGATTACGGCAGCCACGTGTCGCCAACAAGCACACAACTGACGGGGTAAACGGTTGGAGTCGCGGCAACTAGGTGTAGACAATGTTTCAAGCAGCGCGTCAGTGATGGCGTATGCCACGCGGGATCGGGAGCGGCGCTCGTCGAGAGGACAAAGCGGCATCGGAAAGGATACCAGCAAAGGGAAGCGCAGGAAAGAGCGAAAGATGTGGTCGTCAGGGTTTTCATAATTAAACGTGTCTAACTTCGCTATTACTGCTTCGTTTCCAAAAATTCTCACGACTCCGTGTTAGTCGTACATTCGTGCACAATTTCCCCACAACAACTGACTTTCAACCTCTGGGTGGTTTACGGGCCTTTTAAAACAGTACAATTAGCGTCACCTATAGCTTCTTTTGCTTCATTATGTGCCTAATTTTATGAATAATAACTTAGTTATTTTTGTCGTGGTTTTCGTTTTTCAAGAGCTGTCATGATGTGCACAGCTGCCCAAGCAGCTTTCAAAGAATATTTTTATTAATTTTTTAACCATACTTTCGGGACACAAGTGTACTGCAGAAGCAGTGCAATTTCAAATGCAGTAAAACACTAAAAGACATTACAGGGCATGTTATAAGGTGATTTTGAAATTCCCAGTGTCATTTGTTACATTGATGGAAGCAGAAAGGTGGTTTCACTCGGTATTGGTTCTTGACTCGAAAGAGTCGTACTAAAAACTAAGGTTACAAGTGAAAACTTACGGGCCCGTTTTCTTTGTTTGACACAATGCTAATGTCAACTCATGGACAATAATGCCAAGGAAAGTATAGGGAATGCTATTGGAAGTAATCATAACGAATTTGTGAAGAAAGAAAAGTGCACAAAAAAAATAACTTGCTGTCGGAAGAAACCAAACCTGCGACATTCAAATAACGCATCTGATATGCAGATATGGGGTGTGTATTTCGATGATGAGGAAAAGCACCGCCGCTCCTGCAATACTTGGCATTGTTCAATGAGTACTCGCATGCATTTTGGTTTCACCAGATGCACAAGTACGCAATTATGAGTGCAAATAAGCGCAGCCCCTTAGGAGGCCTGGAGAGGACAGAAGGGAGCTGACATTGGGCCCGTTTCGTCAATTGTGATTATTCGCACTCATAATCACATTGCGCCAACAAGACAAATCCTGCAGTCTCCCAAACACATGTTTATTACGTATGGATGGTGCTTTGTTGGCGAATATCAATATTCAAAGCGCTTATCAGGTATCTTAATCTCGCATAAAGTTTCGCTTCTAAATGGCCGCATCGACATTACTGTAAGGTCATGACGTTATTTGCGAATGTGCTGGCATTATTAATCGGGGAGGCATGCATCATGAAATTCTTGTTAAATTCTTTATCGATTGAAATGAAACTCACTGAGTTTATGTAAATTTGTTTGCAGATTTCAAACGTGCAATTACTTTTCTGGTATAGTATTGTCATGGGGTCGTGACGTGGCCGAAGACAGGAGACTTCGTGTTGGGATTTAACTGTTTATTTGGGTGAACCTGTGCCCGGTAAACCGAAAGTCCAATTACAGCAGCAGTCTCGCACACATAGCAGTCTCGGACTGATAGCGGCGAACGGAGCGTCGGCCTTCGATCAACAACTGACAAGCGGCGAAGCGCGTCGGCATTTATACTCTTGCCGTCGAATGTTCTAGCGTTATCGCTGGCGGCGGCGTAGGTTCCAGAACAATCTGTACCGTTCGCACAGTGGGCGTGATCTTATCGAAATGATCTACTACAGTCCGGAACCTTCTCGAAAACTGCAAGCGCGGTTCGCGCTGAGAACGATGTGGTGTTTTAGGACGATAACAAAAACTTGGGAAATAGAACGTGGCATTGCCCCCCTCTGAAAAAAGGCATCGTCCCGATGCTTTAACTAAAGATGAAGGTACAATAATAATGCTAGAAAGTACAATGAATAAATTACGATACAACTATAATACAAAAAAAAAACACTGTTTCAGTTTGTTAACGCGCATGAAACGGCTTGAGGCGCGCAACATGTACGACTTCAGGTCGCGATCGGCATCATTGAGAGTTCGTGATGCCGTCGGGGACAACCTCATAATCAAGTGGGCCGAGACGTCGAACCACCCTGTACGGTCCGAAGTACTGTCGCAGAAGCTTTTCACTTAGTCCACGTCGGCGTATCGGCGTCCACACCCAAACACGTTTACCGGGCTGGTATTCCACGAAGCGTCGTCGAAGGTTGTAACGGTGGCTGTCGGTTGTCTGTTGATTCTTGATACGGATACGCGCAAGTTGTCGGGCTTCTTCGGCGCGTTGAAGGTACTCGCTCACATCGAGGTTTTTCTTCGTCGGTGACGTTGGGTAACATGGCATCGAGCGTCGTTGCCGGGCTCCTTCCGTAGACCAATTTGTATGGAGATATCTGCGTCGTCTCCTGCACCGCCGTGTTGTATGCGAAGGTCACATACGGAAGAATGGCGTCCCACGTCTTGTGTTCGACATCGACGTACATTGACAGCATGTCGGCGATCGTCTTGTTAAGCCGCTCGGTGAGGCCGTTGGTCTGTGGGTGGTACGCTGTCGTCCGGCGGTGGTTTGTTTGGCTGTATGCCAAGATCGCTTGAGTTAAGTCGGCAGTGAATTCCGTTCCTCTGTCGGTGATAAGGACCTCCGGGGCGCCGTGACGTAGAAGGATATTTTCGACGAAGAACTTAGCTACCTCGGATGCACTGTTTTTTGGCAGGGCTTTTGTCTCGGCGTAGCGGGTGAGGTAGTCGGTAGCTACCACGATCCACTTGTTTCCGAAAGTCGACGTCGGGAACAGCCCCAGTAGGTCCATACCAATCTGCTGGAAAGGTCGGCAAGGTGGATCAATTGGCTGCAGAAGTCCCGCTGGCCTTGTCGGCGGTGTCTTGCGTCGCTGACAGTCCCGGCATGTCCTCACATAACGAGTGACATCGGTGGTAAGACGTGGCCAGTAGTACCTTTCTTGTATCCTCGCGAGCGTGCGAGAAACACCGAGGTGCCCTGCTATCGGATCGTCGTGCGGGGCCTGCAGGAGTTCTGGTCGCAGAGCTGAAGGCACCAGAAGGAGGTACTTAGCTCGAAGCTGTGAAAAGTTTTTCTTTTGTAGAAGACCGTTTCGTAGAAAGAACGACGCAAGTGCGCACTTGAATACCTTCGGGACTTCGGCGGTCCTGCCTTCGAGGTATTCTATTAGGGCCTTAAGTTCCGGGTCGGCCCGCTGTCGTTCAGCGAAGTCGTCGGTAGTTATCGTTCCCAAGAAGTACTCGTCATCCGGGTCATCGTGTAGCGGTTGGTCGACAGGCACACGAGAGAGACAGTCGGCGTCAGAGTGTTTTTTGCCGGACTTGTAAATGACAGTAATGTCATACTCTTGAAGTCTCAGGCTCCATTGTGCGAGGCGAACTGAAAGGTCCTTCAAGGTGGCTAGCCAACACAAGGCGTGGTGGTCGCTCACAACTTTGAAGGGCCTGCCGTAGAGGTAGGGGCGAAATTTCGACGTAACCCAGATGATGGCGAGGCACTCCTTTTCTGTTGTGGAATAATTTGTTTCTGCTTTGGATAGCGATCGGCTGGCGTAACTAATAACCCTTTCAAGTCCGTCAGCCCTCTGCACAAAAACGGCCCCAAGACCTACGCTGCTTGCGTCAGTATGTATTTCTGTCTCGGCGAATTCATCGAAATGGGCAAGTAACGGAGGCGTCTGGAGGCGATGTTTAGGCTCCTGGAAAGCGTGTTCCTGTGGCGTTTCCCACTTGAACTCCACGTCGGCCTTGGTAAGGTTAGTGAGAGGATCGGCGATGCGGGCGAAGTTTTTCACGAACCGCCTATAATAGGCGCACAGGCCCAGAAATCGGCGCACGGCCTTCTTGTCAGTGGGCGGCGGGAAGTCGGCGATGGCGGCTGTTTTCCGTGGATCGGGACGAACTCCAGACTTGCTGATAACGTGTCCCAGAAACAAGAGCTCCTCATACGCAAATCTGCACTTTTCTGGCTTCAGTGTGAGTCCGGACGTCTTGATGGCTTGAAGT